GACTTCTTAAATACGATTTTACGTTTCTACGTTTATTAGTCAGTAATTAAATTAAGTTATTTATTGTAACTTTTGGAAAGTCCCATGAGATAAAATATCTATTTTTATCACTACTCCAACTACAAAATATTTATTTATTTTGTTCGCGTTTCTTACACAGGTACATTAATACATTAACCAATGTATTTCATACAACGCGCAGAGAGTCTCCTATTTAAGTGTTACATAATATTTATTATTGTTGTTAATTTTTTTCATGAGTGGAGGTAGACACTTAAACCGATTTGCTCGTGAAATTATTGCACCAAAAATACACAAAGCGTTGTATTCCACAGGTGAATATCCCATCTCTGTTGGATTTGTCTACAAACTACAAAGCGAGTAACACAGAAACTATCGTAAATTGAGGTACAAACAAATCGAATAAGGACGAGCGTAGTGGTTTATACATATTTGCAGCTGTATAATATTATAACTATTAACTTTAAAGGTTTTCTGATCAGGTAACTAATAAAAACCACAAAAACAAATAATTCAATTTTCGTATTTTAAGGACAAAATGTAAGTGTGGGTTGATTTCTGGGATAAAAATAACTTTCTAGAACCTTTCCTTCGAGATTCTTTAAATAGCGGCGAAAACCAAATTAAATCGGTTCAGTGGATACCGAGAGTATTGCAGCTAACATACAAATACACATTTCCTCTTTATACGTACTGAATAGTTGGATAGGATGTTCTTTTAATTTGTACCGTTAATTAGTAATTACACTGTATACTTACTTTGAATGTATAATTTATAACCAAGCATTTTAATTTAGTACCTAGTACCTACACATCCTTTAAAATTAGGTAAAGTGAAATATTCTTTTGGTATAGGCACTTAACAGACACTTAAACAAAAAAAATATTACTATAATAGAATCTGTGAACACTGATTGCTGTATTTAGATTAAACCTGCGCAGCATAATATTATTTATATAATATGTCTTAATATTGATTCAAATTAACTGGACATTTTTACTCATGGTGTTATATCGTCATGTTATGTGTTTGGTTTGCTGTAAACTTATTTATAAAAGACTGGTTCATGTCGCTTAATAATAATATAATATCATCGATGGCAACACACTCGAGTACAAAGCGGTTTATTTGCAGTACCGTGTTGAAGAGATTATTTTCACAAGGACACAGGGCAAACTACCAGAAGTAGTGGAATTCGGTTTATTAAAAGGGATGTAAGGTGAAGGAATATGAGGTAGAGAAGAAGTGTAGAAATACGTCCTCCACAGTTATTCGTCCATGAGTTGTTCCAATTTCAGAGTTGGGAAGTTTTCGTTTCAAATCCGATCATGGCGATCGTTGGTAACCGGTGATGCATGGGTCGATAAGCGGATCAGTGTGTTCAGGAAGTTTATAATGAAAGATGGTTAATACTCTGCGAAAGAGGTTTTTTGGCTACTGTCATTGCGTCTCAAGGCGTAAAATAATTACGAAACTACGAGTACATTCCACGGGAGGGAGATTACTAAAACCAATGTTCCGACCACATGTACACCCTTGTAAATGACGACTTTTACATTCTTCACATGAAATTAACACATTATTGATAATATAATATAATTATTATTATATTATTTGAATACACCACATTATGAAGGATTTAATTTAATAATTATAAGAGTTCAACAATAATTTCTATAATATTTTAATACTTTATAAGAAATTAAAAAAATATTTTAATACCTTCGTTTTATGTCAAGCTAAACTATTGTTTTAATCTTTCACTTTCTCGAATTCAACTATAATAGTAGTTCTTAAAAAAAAACTGCATTATAAAAATGTTATTTAGTTTAAATGTGAAAATAAATAAGGATAATAGTAAATGTTTTCTTTTGCAAATAACTTTTAAGCAAGTTATTGATGTATCATGTTTTGTTAAGAGGCTTTCAAAAATGTGTATGTAATGATATTATTTTTTATACTGTTTTATTCTATTCTATTGACTTCTCATACCTGATAAAGAAAATAATCCAAACGAATAAAAAATAATAAAACGTAAAGAAAAGGACAAGAAATAGGTTGTACTATAGCATTCAAATTACATTCAGTTTTTTACATTATTAGACTAATACAGAACTAAGAATGTCAGTATTATAATTCAAGAGTAATAATTACTATTATAAGGTTATTACTTAGCTTACATTAAAATAATAAGTATCACCTAAAATGTATTTTTCACTTACAGAGCTACGTTTTTATGAATTGTGAACAGAAAAAAAATCAGCATGACTAAATTCCAATTTTAATCATAATATTCCACTTATCATTTTGTTGTTTGTGCTTCAATCGTATGAATTTAACTAACTACGATAAGGATTATAATATTTATTATATTTTTTTGAATATTAATAAAAGTATTTTTTTTCGATTTTGTTTTTCAAAATCAGGCAGGCTTAAATCAAAGAATTTATTTATAATTTAAAACGTGTTTTATACTTGTGTAGAATATGCATGCTTGCATACTGTATACGAGTACTTGAGTATATTGAAGACAAAAAAATACATAAAAAAGCAACGAAAATGATTAAATATAACGAATTATTGAAATCTACTAGTGATACGGATATCTTTATAGGGGTGGAGAGAAATAGAGACAATTTGTCTCCTACTCGAATGTCAGTTTATTAAAGCGATCTCCCCATAAACTAATTTTAATGAAAACTGAAATAGATATAACCGTGTCTAAAAAGTGAAAAGATTCAATAATGACCTTTCTAGGTCTGTTATTTTTTCGGTAGAAAATACAATACCTATAGATAAATCTTATAGTTGCTGTAGTGACAAATAAGAAAATAACTATTAAAAAAAAAATTTCAATTTATACTATAAAATGTAGATTACAACTGTTATGGGTATTTCGATCAAATAGATAAAGCTTATAATAATTTTATTTTGAATAAATATGCTTAAAAAAAACAAAGTTGCTATGAAATAGGCTGTCAAACCTATAATAAAAATATTATCTCTAACAACCACAACAGCAATACATTGCAATTCATCAGACCGCTCGTAACGAAGTAAGGTCATTAACGAATGCAATACAAAACTGTTACAGAAGCAGCTTCTAATCAACAGATGAAGTTCTGGGATCATCTGTGGATTTATGTTTATGCTCTTAAAGGTGCAAAAATTATTTTACGAAGAAATCTTTGGGTTTCAAAAAGACTCGCTAATGGTACAGTCGAAAAAATACTTTTATTATTTACGATCCAAAATAATATTGAAGGAAATAATTATTATTGTGAAAATATATGCTGTGGTGCATACAGTTCTTCCCTAAATGTACTGGACTAGCAATGTATGGAGAGTCTGTTCGTGTTGTACTTGAATTCTGCTAGTGTTATCGCATTCATCATTTACAATAATGAATAACTTTAAGAAAATCTACAGTTATAATTGCCGATGTTGAGATCCAAACCGGGTCAACGAACTTGGCAGTCATGACGTGTAAAAATGTTATTTTGGCTATTATTGAAACTCGTTGAAACTACTATTTCGATCTATTGTTAAAAATTAACCGAAGTATTACTACTATAGTTGCTCGTCTTGATAAACCGCAACACTGTAGAATGTAGATAATGGGGATTAAAGTAGTATTTATTATAATTAAAATGTATTAAATGCATGTTAACACCATCAAATATTGAAAAAAGCCTTGGCGCACTGAACAAGATTTAAAAAAAAAACAATAACGAAACTTGGCGAGACGCATTTCACCGAAATAATTCAATACAATATGTTGAATTTTAAAAAAAAATGATAAATACTCAGTTTGTAAAAATTTTAAAATTATTCAGTTTATTATTGTCGTACATTCTTGTCTGTCCCTTTTTTGTACATGGACACACCTAGTATTATTATAAAATATTTTATTAGGTAATTCAAATTTGTGGTATTACTACCAATAAATCATCGAGAAATAATGTAATGAGTATAATATTTTTAAACTAAGATCATTAACTAATATCAAGTTAGTATTTCATTAAGATAGAAATTCGAGTTATGAAAGTTCGAGACTCCAGCTATCAAAAGTCCATTGTTTTATTATATCATAATATTAAATTACACATACTATAGTTATATTAAAATACAAAGCTTTGAATATTTTAAACGGTTTCGTTTTAACTAAGAGAGCTCTAACATACTTTTATAATTCTATTGAACATGTTTTATATACAAAACACATTGGTCAAATTGTTTATAATATTATGGGAAACTTTTCAAATAACAAATGTATGTATAAGATGAAACGGCGAACATGAATAAAATAAGAGATAAACAAGATTTCAGAATAATCTGATATTATTCAGAATTAAAAAAAAATAAGGTTAATTTAAGCTAATATAGAATATTAGGTTGTATGCTATAGACTTATAGTATAAGAGAGGTATATCGAGTTGCATAAAAAAAAATTAATGCAATGGTTTCAAATTTAATGGACCGATTATGAACAAGGACCAATAAATCATATTATTTAAGGGATCATTATCTCACCATTGATTCATTAAATATTTAATGATAGTTTATGGAACACGGCATCACGATAATAAAAAAAAAAAATAATGATAAGACGGGCATTCAACAAGAATTAAGGATCTTGTTAACAAATATTATGGTTTCAAGAAAATACGCTCTATTCCTTCTTATAGGTTTGAGACTTTGAATTGTTTTCAAATATTATCCTACTCATTATTATTGTTCATACAATCAGTCAAAATAAAGGAAAGTCACCGATTAAAAATCAATTTGTTTTGCATGAGAAGGAATATCGCCTTTCAGTCGTGCTCTGCGTGCATAGAGCAATCGTGGTGCAAGTCTGTGTAGAGTATAGTGTAGATTTAGTGTAAAAGGTGAGAAATTGTGCAGCGCTGGTGATAGACGAAGCCGTAGTGCGAAGAATAGTTTCATTTTTTTATGACCAATAGTTACTGATACCGACCCTGGCTGAAGTGAAGCCGCCTTCAGGAGCACTCACCCTGTTACCACCGATATTGTTGACTACACACGTGAATATCGCGTCTCGGCCCTGGGCAATAGTCACGTTTTCCAGTGGGAACAGAAAATCTGGCTCGAAACCGTTCACTGAAACATACAACAACAATATATGATTATTATCGACAGCAGGCATCTCGTGGTGTATTATATTAAATCACGTAAAGTGCTTCCGCAACAAATTGAAAAAAAAAAGCAGGGATTATTGTTCCTAAGTATTTTTACAACCTCGTTCTCCCTCAAAAGTCCAGAGATATTAAATTATTTTTCTCTTATTTTCTTATTGTTTGTCATGTTTGACCTAAGTCGCAGCAAATAAGTTCGTTTTGGTTAGGTTACTAACTGCAGTACGTGTTAACTGATGAACCATTCCACAGTTGTATATCATACAATATTTCGTTATTAGTTTTAATGCAATTCATCGCCAATAACAAAAAAGTTTAATAACATAATAATACTAAAAACAGTTAACATTCTAAGCCTCAAGAATTTTAATTTGTTTTTGTTTGTATAATATATCGTAAGTGAGTGGGTGTTATATTTATCCGTTTATATTGTACTCTTTAGCAAAATGTAATTGTGCAAAAGTTTAAAACGAATTGAAATAATAGTTTTGAAAATATATTAAAAAATTCAATTCATAAAATATTGTCAATATACCTATAGAAATTCCATTGACACATTAATAATTGTTGTTCACAGTGCACAAGAAAACAATAATTATATTTATATATTCATTATTCACATAATATCATATTTATGGATAGGTAAATTAACAAAATAATGACGGAATGTTGCCACCATTAATTATCGTTATATGCTCTATTCGTTATAATTGTAGGTTATATGAATTTCGTAAATAAATTATAATTGACGCATTCAATGTTATTCTTTGAAATTGCAGAGGTCGATTCTGGTTTATTCACAGGTAAAAATACACAATATGTGATTCATTATCTAGAGCCTGCCAAGTTATAATTGCACCTCACACTATTTACACGTAAACGGTGGACACACTAGCAAATATGTGAACAATAAAATTATGTTGGTGTAGTACATCATTGAGATTAATGGGAGAATAACGGGCAGGAAGTAAGCGCTATGTTTCTACTATTATTTAAGTCGAGGTTACTGACAAAAAAGTCAAAAAAAGACTGAGAGGACCACAAGGTCGACTGATCGAGCCAGAGAGGATCTCATGCATCCGGGAATAATAGATGCAGAACTGGTATAGCCAGGGATGCACGGAGAGTGGTAGTCAGTGGCCGTAAAATAATTTTGTCATAGAGGGGGGGGGGAAGGGTGGTTTATTTTTGACATATATCAGTGTTTTAATCATTAAGTATATAATTTATGGTTATAAGATCAATTTATTTAAATGCAAACTTAAAAAAGTTACCTAGTTAATAGATATTAATAATAACATTTTAATTAAACTATAAAATCTATTTTTTTTCTTGTGCTAATTCATCAAGTACTGTGTTTGCGGTTATATTTATAACTTTCCAATGAACCTAACTTATAACTAGTAGGAGGAGGGTGTTATTGTAGAACATTTTCAACCATCGAGTGTATAGATAACTCTTAAAAGTAATATCCTAGATAAAGTCTATATGTAATAGTATATAGTGTAATACAGAAATCTTCTGTGGAAATTGACTATAATACCCATCTACTTTATTATTTAAAAATAATTTACATTAAACAAATAAAATATATGTCATACAGTATAACTCTCATACAGCGAATTTCCATTTAACAACATTTTCAATTTAACGAAATATTTTTGAGAACGAAACCGAATCAGAACAAACCTAACCCGACGACCACGTCTGATCAAATTCAACAGTAGAGGAGACGGGAGGAATGCATATTATGCGGTTTACCGTGTGGAAATTACTTGGTTTATATCATATAATATTATAATATATAGGTACGCATGCGACGTAGGTTATATCGTGCTGCTGCGTAACAAGAGGAGGGCCTTTAGTATTTAGCTTTGATCGAAACTTGTGCGTGTGAGTGAGTGTGTGTGAAACGATTTGCAAGGTTTGTTTCTCGAATGGATGGATGAGTGGAATAAAAAAAATAAAATAATAATAAAAATGTTTGAAATAACAAATCCCTCACGAGGAAACGTAACCGACGAGAAGCTGCTGCGGCGCTGTTCGGTCGCCGCCGTACGCTCGCACTCGGCCTCCGATAACCACATTAATTAATTGCGATAGGGTATACATATACACATTGGGCAAATTAAAGGGTAGGAAAACGAGTATTCTGATTTATGGGAGCTGGCCCACCCCCACCGCCGCCGCCGACCGACGAGTCCTGCGGTCTCTACGTCTCCTCGTCCTAGTCCTCCTCTTTTCACCGACCGCTGTAGCGGGGAGCGATCCCTTTTCGAAAACCAATGTCCACGGGGCCTTTGCACATAAAAACACATGTTTCGAAAACAAACTTTCGCGAATTTAATTGAAAACGTCTGATTTAATTTATAAGCGAGCCCTACGCGCTAATTTTTACTTGTCTCGCGCCAAAAAAAAACCCTATTTGTCATGATACCATGTAATTAATTTTTGTTCAACTTGCTTATTGGACTTCAATTTATTTTTACAATTTCAAAATTACTTTGAATGTTTTATAAGGTGACGCTTGTACTCATTACCTACAATTTTACAAACCATCAGTTGTAATCTTTTGAATATAAATGTAAAAAAACGACTCCAAAATAATAATAATTTTTAAAATGTAAATTTGTTTTTGAAAAAAATGTTACTTTATCAATTAACGCTTAAGTATTAATTTACAAATAACATTAATGTTGTTAGTAAATGTATATGTTATGTATAATAAATAATTACATAATATATATTATATCCATGTAATATATTTATATATATATGTTATGTATATGTTAAATTGTTAAATAGACACTAAGTTAATTTATCATTTATTAGTTTTATATTTTTAGAAATTGTATTACAACTAGAACTAATGGTTTACTTTTTATCAAATTGTAATATATTGTTTTATATTCTCTGTTATTGTATTTTGATTAATTTTATATCATTGAATTGTATTAATTTTAATTTTAATAAATTTTTAAAAGTTATGGGAATTGTATAGTTAATTTCTAATTATATTTTTAAAGCTCATTTGGCCTATGATAAGCATGTAAAATGTAAAATGTAAAATGTTTAAATTATGTTTAACATGTAATTTTTTCATTTTATAAAATATTTCATTGTAGTTTAAAGTTTTTTAATCAATAATACAGTCGTAAACTCTTAAATCAATCTGAGAACATTAATTTAAGAAATAAATCTCCATATTTTTGTATCCATTATTATATTTACAGTGGCAAGCCATATCCATGTCAACTTGTCCTTTAGTACACAATTCTCTGATCTAAGTAAACCATTCCAAGGTGTTTGGTGGAAACATCATATTGTGGACAACATCATTCCAAGTGGATCCAACAAAAGTTTATAATAAAGTATGAAAAAATATCCTACAAAAAAAAAAAAAGTGGACTTTGAAGTACTAATCTAAAGAGAAAACATTCTGGAAAATGTTCATAAATCAGATTTATATACACTTTAAAACACACGATTTAATTATTTTCGTAATGGTAAAAGTCGTGTAATTTTATAATTGTAGGTTTGTAAGGATAATTTATTATTAATAGGAATAATTATAACTTTTGTGTTGCACAGTTTATTTAAATCAATAAGCTAACTAACACGTGATATTAAATATGAATAGTTTGACATAAAATGAACCTATTAAAAAATAAGTAAAAAATGGCTAACAATGTATAGCAATGTATTCTTATATAGAAATAATAACGAGTGAATACATATTATGATGGTGAATGTTGATCGATGATAATATTTACTATATTATTATATAATATTATAATGACATGATATACCAATGCAAAAATAATAATTTCTCGAATCGATGTTAAAGTTGTTGTTATCCGTTATTGAAGAATCGAAAAAATCTAATTTCATAGTTAAACGGTTTTAGACTGTGCTAGAGTGGTCGGGCAAGTTAGTATAATATCATTTTAGCGGATTAAATTTGAACAACTTTTGTATTGTCTCCTATAGGCTTAGCACCTTATTGTGGTGGATATAATTTCTCGAGTGCGTATGCCGGTGTCACACACACACATAGGTACGTCATAGAACCTTTAACTTTAAGCATGGAAGATAGACTATGGCAGCTTAGATATTGTGATTATTTTATGGACAGTTTATCGTGTCACAAAGTGACAAACAACACAGCAATCTTAAACAACGGGAAAAATCGTATTAAAATGTCAGTATCAATAATACTCATTTTTGAGTTTACAACCTTCGTGTTTGGAAAACGATATCATGCTAATAGTTTTTTTTTATAGTAAATCACTATTTAGTATTTGAGATAACATTTTAGTTAATAAGTTAAACAGAATAGCCAAAACAGCAAAGTAGTGATAAGACTGCAAGTAATTATAATTTCTAAAAAATATATAAAAAAAAAAATAGAAATTATAAAAAAATAAAACGAAGACTATAACATACAAGACAGGATCTTTTGATAAATTTTCACGATATAGTGTAACGAAGAGTAGGGTAGAAAATGAATTTAGTGTTTATGCTTAATCCTGTTGACTTAAAATGTATAAAATATTCTGTAATAATAGTAAATTGTTGCAGAAAGTATCATGCAAAAAAAATGGTGTCATTTTTTATTATTATCATTACTCAGGCAGTAAAATATACACTGTGCATAATATGTGTTATGTGTATAGTGTATGTTGTATAATATACATCATACATATATGTATAATAGTATACTATGTATATAATATGATGTATGTATGTTTATATTTATATATATTTTTTACGGTATATGTGTGTGTGTGTGTGTGTGTGTGTGTGTGTGTGTGTGTGTGTGTGTGTGTGTGTGTGTGTGTGCATGTAAGAGCTTCTCGAAAAGCGTTATTTCTATCGTTTTTCGAATTCCAATCGCAACAACAGCGGCAAAGACAAGTCGTCGCCGTCCTCGTCGTCGTCAGCCTATATATATATATATATGTA